CGATTCTGTCGTTGAGGTCAGTCGTTCGCCACGCGGTTAATCGGTAGCCATGCTTGTTAATCCGATCTCGGAGCTTGCCTCTGATCCGACTGTTGTTGTGTACTGTTCGAGGACAGACGCCTGCCAGACAACGGGTGTCATCGGTGTCTGACACGTGTCTTCAAATCGGTGTGCGTACGCGCAATTTGTCCCGCAGCGTTCTTGCCACGCGTAGCCTCTTTCCAGGTCTGCTTAGAGCTGACTGTTGCCTATTGATGTTGCATATGGTGATTTATCATCCCGTTATTGCGCTAAGCATATTTAGATTTTTAAAATTATACTAATATTATGTAAGGAGTCTTGGTAAAATACAGATATCTTGTCCACGTCGTGATCAAGGAGCTCCGACAATGGTATTTTATCTCGTTGAATAAAGTCGATTGAATCTTTCTTCTCATCGACCACTGTACCTGTACTTGTGTAGTTGTAAGCTGAAGGCAAATCTGTCTAGGATAAAGTCGCTATAACTAAGGGGTTAAATCGTTCGTATTTAACTTAGTATCTTATAGTCTACTCTTTGAGCAGACGAAATTGTGTTGTTTTTGTGTGTTTGTCTAAAAGCGAACACCTGAAACTTATTCTACCATGTCGATGTTTGAAGATGAGTACTTTGCAAATGAGTGAAATCTTTAACCGATTGATAAACTATGATTTTAAGTCTTCATGAGTTGTTGAAGAGTGTGCTCAGTGTTCTTTTACCTACTTTATCTCCAATTATATGATTAAGGCATTATTTAAAATAGTTTGGTAGCTCGACGAGTTAGTAGTCATTAGAACTTTCGAGAGGTCCACTGAAACATTTTTCATCCAGTCAGTTTACCTGTCGTTTACTTGTAGTTTTCTACTCATCCGTCTGCGGATCCAAAAGGAAGATCTCGCTTATTAGATATGATAACCATGTGTATGGAGTATTATTCTGGTGATGATATCAGATGGTCGCTGCATTGAAACCGAGCCACTAGCGGTAGTACCATCGTTCCATTAGATATTTGGCTTCCTTGTCCTTAACGCACAAGAATGATACTCAGTGCATCAGGCATTGTTTTGGAGGGAGGGCGAATGACCGTTTAGAATCCTGTTACTCCAGGATGCTTCCTTTAAGAAGACTTCCTTTCCAAGGCGTGCAGGATACCTAAATCATTGGTTGGTCAACCAATTGTCATAATATCCATGTTAATCTTAATAACTACTCCTGAAATTAGACTGCACAGTATTTTCCTTTGACCTGCGATTGCGTACTTACATAATACTTCACTGCGTGAACCAAAGATATTGTTACGGTTGCTGTCATCTGAGAGTATCAAGCTTGAATAGTAGGGTAGTTACGCCTGACAATTATAACTGCCATTAAATTTAATATTAGAAATGCTCAATGCTGTGGCAAGGTTGATATTCCTCGTGTCCTGCAATGAGATGTTTCCTGGTTGTGTATTACCCTTCAAGGTATAGCGACAGTAGACGGTGCTTGCATGGTCAGAAAATTTTTAAATATATTTCCATTTTCTTTTTGGACCATTTTGTCAAGCGAAGCCACGCGCCGGTCT